TGTATTAAGGGAGTTTTTGAATGTAATAAAATTATTAAAGGAGTTATTGAATTTAGTCAGAGTATTAAGAGAGTTATTGAATCTAATGAAAGTATTAAGAGAGTTATTGAATATAGTCAGAGTACTAATGGCGTTCATGAATCTTGTCAAAATATTAAGGCAGTTATTGAATATAGTCAGAGTATAAAGGAAGTTACTGAATCTAGTTTGTTTGTTTGTAATTATGCACAAAGCTACACCATGAGCTAGCTGAAATCGAGAGAATTGCCTACTGGTGTAAAAACACTACAGATCTCGTAAACAGTCATTATTTGTATGTTGTGATATTAAGCGTTATTTTCAATCTGATTTTTTCGAGTTATAACAGTGAACAGATAGACATTTGGCACTGTGGAGGGCTAAATGCTAGAGTTTTTGTTTATCGAAATATATACTCTATTCTTTCTTTGTAGTTACTATCGTTAGTAGTATTGGTTGGAATGCTTAACATATCTAGTTTTTATTATTCTTTCGTTATAGAGATTATCATGCATTGTTAGCTTGGTATGTGTATTTGGAATTGGCTTGAGTCTTCTAGGCTGGCTGAGATTCGTGGATATTGTTGGGATTGCGGCCGAAAGTGTCGTTTTCGGCGAGGGGGCCAACTGATTAAATAATGCATTCTAATCTTTATGAATAAAAATATAACAAGCAGGTAACTTGTTATTATGGAAAGTAATATTAATATCATCTGTTTTTGACGCAATACATTTTCATGTAAAGATATGTTTGACAAACAGCTCTTGACATGGTAAATATTACGTTTTGCTGTAAATAATACATTTTTTTAAATATAAGAGTTGTTACTTACAAAAAAGAGACACGCCAAGTTCAAACAAATCACCTGTAAATAAACAAGTAAATTACTCTCGTATTAAATGATGTCTTACTACAGCATATCAACATACACATGATTTGTTAGTTTAAGGAATTATTTACAACATTTTACTGTAGCTTTGAATGTTGAGATTTTAAGAGTAATGATTTTTTCCTTTATAAATTACAGATTCCGCAGAAGGGCGCCATCTCGTGGCAGTCCCATCAGACTTGATGAAGGAACAGGTGAAACCTCTTGATCTCAGTACAGTACGAGGTACGATTTCAATTTATCTGGGTCGAAGTACATATAGGAATATAATTTTTTTACTTCTGTAGTGTTTGAAGAATGTCATGCGTAATCAACCACCACACGCTGTACTGTACCTTGCAACATCTTCTGTTTGCGTTATTAGTCAGTACGAAATACAGGAAAAATACACACTGTACTGTAAATAGCACCCAAGTCTGTCGTACTTCAATCGGCTTGATGAGCCCAGATATGGGACGAAAGGCCTTGTCAGTACTAGATATGGTAGAAGTAGCGTGGATGATATATCATAACATGTGCTTCTTTCCTTTTACTCATAAACTCTTAGAAATACACCTTACCTTGATAACCTTATTAAACGTTGGTTAAACTGTCAGGTTATAGGCCCTTGGATTCAGATATAACCGTCCCAATTTTGACCACAAGGGCTTTTGCCCGCTCTTTCGAAGCAAATAACATGATTGGTTAAAGTGCTTTGTCCAACTCTTTTGAAGCAAATAACGGATTGGTTGTGACTTTTATAATGCGCCACAGCAGAAAGCGCGGATCGTGTTCAACTGCATCATGTGTCGAACCACGATCCTTAACCTTTTGATCTACAATCCAACATACTAACTACTAGGCCACGAAGTATAAAAAAGAAGACATGTTATACAGTACCTAAAAACGCCCTTTCTTATAGCATAACATGAATAAGGTAAACATTACTAACCCAGAACAGACGGAAGCAAGGAATTTAAAGTGCTAAGTTAAAAAACAACAAAAAACTTTCAAGCATATGGATTACAACAAAAATTCATATATTCAGTACATCATTAAATTTAGATTAATCATAGTATTGTGAACAACACACGTTCATGATTAATAGTATACCTATATTATGTATGTAGATAATACGTTTTCAATGATCATAAATAACTTTGATTGCGTCTGTATCTGCTAAATGTGTAGGAATGATCTGAAACATTATGTGTAGACATATTTCTCTGGTCAATATAGTGTGTTGAAAATTGCTGTGTCGATAGACTGAGAAGAATGAGATTGCAAGAGTGCTCATTATTTCCTTGTTCTGTAATAAAACAAGGCACAACGAGGCCCTTATCAATTCTGTTTTCTTTCAGCTCTCCAAACTGGTTTTGTAGTGTTACAGTTTACTTTTCAGTGGCGAGATTTTCGTTTGAGCAATGGTCAAGCAATCTTAGACACTTACGTCACATCTGATCGTATAATTCATTCTCTATATTAACTCGAAGAAAGTATGGTTTTATTGAGAGAAAGATCCATGCGAACGAGGGTATTATATTTGCTAACGTGATTGTAGGTTTTGACAAAGCACCTAGCTGGTTTTTATTGTTGTCATATTTATAACCTCAAAATTTTTCTTTTTGCATCTTTACAGTTATGCACATTATACCTTTCTTTTTTGATGAAAGCTTTTTAAAATTTTGATTACATTACGGACAATCTATCAAAGAAGTGTTACAAATACGTCATAGATGGTTTCTTTTCATCTTTTGGGTGATGTTTTTACAATTCTTTTTTGAGAAAGTAATTGAAAGGTAATTAATTTTGTAAAATACAAAATTAACAAAAATAACACTTTGCCGGAAAGTATTTTATTCTTTTCTCAAATCCTCGCCCAGCATGGCCAGGTGGTTAGGGCGCTCGACTCGCAATCTGAGGGTCGCGGGTTCGAATCCCCGTCCCACCAAACATGCTCGCCTTTTCAGCCGTGGGGGCGTTATAATGTGACGGTCAATCCCACTATTCGTTGGTAAAAGAGTAGCCCAAGAGTTGGCGGTGGGTGGTGATGACTAGCTGCCTTTCCTCTAGTCTTACACTGCTAAATTAGGGACGGCTAGCGCAGATAGCCCTCGTGTAGCTTTGCGCGAAATTCAAAAACAAACAAACAAACTCAAATCCCCCTGGTGACTCAGCGGTAAATCTGTGATATTTATAAAACTGAAAATCAGGTTCTAATATCCGCACTGGACAGAGCACAGATAGCCCTTTGTGCGAAACAATAACTTTTCACAGATTTTTTAGAATATCTATGAACGTTCTTTTATGATAACTGGAGAGTATCTTACTGTAAACGTCAAAGAAATGGTCATTTCATTGACAAATATTTAAAATGAAACCTAGTAAATGCACCTAATCTCGGATTTATCAAAAACATTTTTAGATATTTGATTTATCTAAAAAAATATTTTTAGATATTCGAAACATATGAGAAAATTATTCCAACAAAACAAGCGACAAGTAAAGATTATAATAACATTCGTATATTGATTGTGTTTTATGTGTGAATGTATATTAAAGATTCCGGGTTTGTTATCGAATAAGTCACAATGTCACAGCAATATTCAAGTTCTAATTGACAATAGGAGATGTTACCCAGTTCGTTAGAAGGAAAACAATTCGGCCATCGTTACACAATGCTTTTTTTATATATTTGTTCTTTGTTGTCAGTGGGGTGATTAATACGCGTCTTGTTAATATATCATCTCCATAAACTCTTCTTATGTCGCCATAGTTGAAGGAACAAAGGCTGTAGTGAATAAAGGCCGGGGGGGGGGATTCGTCACATTTCATTTCAACAAATAAGTAGGTTTGTTGGTAAAACAAAAGCAGATACGAAGTGCTTGAAGTTTCAAATGAAAGGGGGGTCTTTTCCGAAAACTGAAACCTGTTTGTTTAATTTTTGCACACTAATTTATGTCAATCGTTAAAACTAACGCTCAGTACAACGAACCGTGTATTATTTCAGTCAGAATTCCAAGTTTTAAAAGAGCCTTTGAGGGGCGGATGTAATCATTGTCATTTTTCTTGCGGAACATTACTTCCGTGGCTAGCCATAGTTTAGCACAAAAAAAGAATACTTCTCGTTAAGATAGACACCATCTCACTCCGAACATTGGCTGACCAAGAACAATGATGTTAGTTTTCGCACACTAAATGGACTTGTTATTTTGAAAAAAATGTAGTTTAGGTTTACAAAACAGAAAAAGAAACCAGCAAAAACTTTGCATAAAAATACATTTATGAGTCTTGTGAAAAAGATATACATATTGTGTTGCTGCTCCTTAAATTGTTTTACTCAAGTTATTTCATGGTTTACGAAATGGTTTTATTATTTCAGTATTTATTGGGCTATTTGTTTTACACACATCACAAGTCATCTTTAACCAATGCTATTTAAAAAGTTATATACGTGTAACGAAAAGCATCAACGATCCGCTGAAACCAACGTTCAAATAACCATAAATCAGGAAGATATAGGTTATAAAAAAGAAAAGTGCGTTTATATTACAAAGCTTTTGCTATTCTTATCAACTAGATATTGATTACATATAAATCTTATAGCAATGAGCTTGTTATTTCTGCATTGATTTTAATTTGTTTTAACACAGATTTTTAAATTATGATTTCTCTGATCAGACTGTAGCTTAGTCATATGTGTTGGTGACCTTTGCCATAACCCGGATGTAAAGATCTACACATGGCGCCGACTAGTGGTACTTTCAACAAATCTGTCGTCGCCTTTATGTGTTACGTCCGATCAAGGCCTTGAAATAATTGGCTGTTTAGTTGTTTTTTTATTTTTTGTCCTACTGAAAGTATATTTGCTTGCCCTCGATCTATAATTAACTATCAATATATTTTTTTCTAAACTACACACACGCTCTAGATAGGAGGATAATGTGAATCTCGTGAGCGCGCGCGTGGTTATAGTTATATCTGTCCAATAGCTTGAACACATGTATTACTCGTTACGAAGTTTGTAAGAAATCCGGAAGTGACAACACGCCACATCGTCCTTGTTCCCCCCCTCCCTCTCTTTACATAAATTGAAGCTATTGCAACCATCTGTTATAAAGCTTCGCAACGTCTCAAGCGTGAAACGCGTCTATTGCCTTGCGAGAAGGTGGGAAAAAAACTCTAAAGAACTAAGTCCTTGGGCTCATCATTCTCGTTATTAAGGCCATAAGACACGATTTTTTCAACCACGTTATCCTCTATTTTCATATGCACATTTTTGAGGATATTTCTGAAATCATAAAATAACGTGGAAGTTGTTGCTGAGGCGGAAGTGAAAGTAGGTCAGCCTAATGTGCGTTTTTTTCCTGATTAACCTGCATGACGTATCCTAGAGATTCCACTGGAACCACAGTAAAACAACCAACAAACTTAAACCACATGCTACAGAAAACAAGGCAAGACGCACGCGCCACTCTCCCCTGAAGAGAAGCGCGTGAGGCTTGGTGCTCATCAGTCACATTCTGGGCTTGCGGTCACGCGAGGTCGTCGGCTGGCGTGTGGTGCTGACGGCGGTTGTCCAGAGAAGGCATGTTTTAGCCTGACAAGAAGCCGGAACTGGAAATCTGGCCAGGCCAGGGCTCGGTTATCCTGCTGAACGATTGGCAGCGGAGTTGGTGAGCTACAGTCAACCACAGGTTTCTCTTAGCGAGCAGTTATCGCCTTGTAAGGATCCCGAGTTTTGCAGACACTACCTTTAAACTTGCGTACTCTGAACTTTCGAATCGAAACAACCTTTCCAGGCGCTGAATTTTTATGCAGTTAGAAGAAAAAAGAAAGTTATAACTTCAAACGGCAAGTACATTATCTATTCTGTGTAATATGTTTATATATTTTTCATTTCTGAGATAAAAGGCTACGAGAAAGTTTGGGGAAGCTAAACAGTTTGTTCAGGTGATTAGTCACGTGTTTGCGTTTTGGTGAGCACAGATGCTGACTAATAAAGTTTAGGGCGTCCTTGCCCTGTTTTTGCAGCCTTCCCCGAAGCTATGTTATTAAAGGCAAACAACCACGCAAGTCTAAAATCACTTGTAAGGTTCAACAGATAATTATAAATTATTTTTAGTACTTGTAATATTAAAAGAAATGTGTATTTTTAAAGTTATAAATATAAGTACTCGTATATATGTAACTCATCGTATTTATTTTATCGTAAAGGTTTCTCCTTTCCAATTTACCAGATCATACATATTTTTTAAACATCAAATATTGTTTGTTTTTTAGAGCAAGTTCACAGTAGGCTATCTGCTGTGTTCATCGCGCGGAATCGAACCCCGTATTTTAGCGTTGTAAGTTCACCGGGGGACTCAAACCTTGTAATTGCATCTCAGTTATGTTTATGCTTTTAATAAATCTCGTAGAAAATATGTTAAGTGGTTAAATAGCGACTTCTTAAGGAATAGTTTCTACATGACGGGAATAATTGTTTCCTTATTTTTTGATGGGGTTTCGTTAATCTTTCGCACAAATCACGAGAGTGTTGCTTATACACACACACAAATAGATTTCACATAACATCATTAACTTCTAGGAATAGCTTAGACCAGTGGTTCCCAAACGTTTTTGTTCGCTTCGTTTTCTTAATTATGCAACCTTTCCACGAAGCACCTGAAGGGAGACCACGAACCACAGATTGAGAACCACTAATCCAGACAGTTTTATTTCAGCTTTGTAGTTATCTATTCTTCCATTCTTCCTGACGTACAAGCTATAAATTACAGCTCACATCCAACAGGCCTAACCGAACTAATAACCCGTAATAGTAGGGTTATGACTGTTTAGCTTAGCACAAGTTAACACGCGAGAAAGGACCTGAAATTGTAAGTTCGTCTTTCAACATTTCATCAGATATTTGTTTATCCCAAAAAGTATCCTCATCCAGAATCTGATGATATTTTCCAGATTTGTACAAACAGTTGTTACAGTTTGCTGCTCCATTACGTATTGATAAACAATTTGATGCATCATAGATGATTTTTGTGTTGAATTTAGTGAGTCATCGTTTTACTTCTGGTTTTTAATCCTTTAGTACGTGTGTGATAACCGTTTCTCTGACGTGAGAGATTTCTTACAGTGCCATTTTCCACATGATTTACGCTAATGTGTTGTTTATTAATCATTAAACATAAGCTGAATTAACTGTCACGAACTTGTTTAAGTAAACACATGCTCGTGAGTCATCGTATATATATATATATATATATATATATATATATACATATAGAAATTGCCATAGTTTGTTTTTCATGCTTACGTGAACAAACACTTAAAATTTGACTGAGCGAAGTAATTTTCAATTACGTTTACATTCGTTTTTAATTCAAATACATCAGGTGTAGTATCACAATATGAGTTCACGCATACTAGTTCACGTACCCGTTAGGTCCGATCCAACCACGCTTTGTCACTTCTTAGGGGGGAACCTTAGGATACGTGCCAGGTTTGCTGACAATCGGCCTAGAGGTTAGTTCTCCACTTATAAGCGGACACACACACAAACCTATGTCAAATATGACTTTAGATAAATGAATAATGATGTGAACTAACTTGTAATTCTATGAGTAAGAAAGTTTATATTTTCCGCTAAATATTGAAATTTAATATTTTATTTATCCGGTTTGCTCAAATAATGTTCTTCCATATTCTTGTTATAATTTTTTTTCGAACAAATAATAAACTGCATCAGTCGGTCTAAAACACCTTTTTGTAGAATATGACAGTTAGAAAGCGCCATCTGTTTTTTAATATTGTTCAAGATGCTATTTGCAATGTATTTTGGAAATATTATGGGAAAATGTAGCGGGTGTGTGTGGAAAAAGTAATACTTTCGCATTTAAACATGGCGAGAAGGAAGACGGGCTTTCACACCACCATTTCGAAGTTCGCGTGTGTGGTTCGAGACGGACGCTGACACCGGGATTTTTTAAATGAAACTACTCGTTTACCTCTTGACGAGAAGTTATGTATTATTTGTTTGTTTCAGATGTTCGCTCAAAGATATCTGTGCTAGTAGCCCTTAGTTTTGAACTGTTAGACTAGAGGGGAGGCAACTAGTCAACAGCACTCACCAACAAGTCTTGGGCTGCTCTAATCAAATAGAGGGATTTGACCGTCACACTTATAACGCACTCTCTGCTACATAGCGTGATATTTTGCGATGATGAGGCGCGAACCATGGACCCTCGGACCCACATTAAAGTACATTAATCAGTGACGAATCCTGGATTTTCAGTTAAGGAGGCAGATTTTAAAAAAGGCACACCCTTGTCTCGAAAATTGTGCATACGAAACATTGATTTATAAACTATTCTGACATGTTTAGTGTTCGTAAAAATTCACCACTGTTTAGAAACTGCCCCCCCCCAGTAGCACAGCGGTATGTCTGTGGACTTACAACGCTAGAATCCGGGTTTCGATACCCGTGGTGGGCAGAGCACGGATAGCCCATTGTGTAGCTTTGTGCTTAATTACAAACAAATTACACGTTTAGAAACTAAAATACACCACATATATTAGAATTGCTAAATTGCCAGCTGCATTTGTTCTTGTTTTTAAACTCTAAAATCATAATAATAGGGAATAAAAGAGCTTCGTAAGTAAGTTGAGTTAAAACAGTGATAGATTTGCAGCGAGTGTTACTTGTTACTGGATCACTGTAGGTAAAACTGTTTGTTTTTTGAATTTCGCGCAAAGCTACACGAGGGCTATCTGCGCTAGCCGTCCCTAATTTAGCAGTGTAAGACCACCGCCAACCTTTGGGCTACTCTTTTACCAACGAATAGTGGGATTGACCGTCACATTATAACGCCCCCACGGCTGAAAGGGCGAGCATGTTTGGTGGGACGGGGATTCGAACACGCGACCTGCAGATTGCGAGTCGAGTGCCCTAACCACCTGGCCATGCCGGGCCATTAGGTAAAACTACTCGCCTTAATTATAGGAAAACATTATTTGACGAATCTGCTAATGTATCGTTATGTATATTTATCACAGAAAACGCAACAGTTAAAGAGTTAACGTGTTAGATTACAAACTACATACTTCTGTTTACAATTTTTAATTCTTCAATTGATTAAGCTTAGTATACGCCAAACTTTGCACATCGCATTGTTTGTATTGAAGATAAATTTTGTAGCTATAGAATGTACAAGACCTTTTCAGTCATTTCATACCTCATAGTAATAAAAATTGTTACGTCACCAGGCTCATTCTTCTAGAGCAGGGGTCTCCAAACCTTTTTGGACAAGGACCGGGAAGTAGTTCTTTTTAGGCTTCGCGGGCCGGTGGGGTTGTGGTAAAATAAAGTAGGGATGCACACACGATCAGATTGGCTTTTGCTCAATTACCTTTTAGTTTTATAATATAAAATATTATATTATTACTTTAATAAACTGTTGGTGGGCCGGATAAACCGAAATCGTCGGCTGGATGCGGGCCGTAGTTTGGAGACCCATGGTCTAGACTCTAGAGGATAGTGGCGTAATACTTGTCTTACAGATTGCGTAAGATATACGCATTATTTTTCGATGTGTTTCAAACTTAGATACACAAAGTTTAAGAACAAAATTTAATATATTTTTTTAACCATAACCTTTGTGAAACGTAATATAATAGTTTTTCAATTCTACATTTTTTTATAATTTTTGTTTTCTGTTTGCCTTATTCTACCTTTGTATATATAGCAAGCCAATAACTTAACGAGACTAGAAGAACAATATTAATTTGTATAAAGTTTTGGTTGTTTATAATTAAATGCACGAATTGCAGTTGGTTTAAATATTCAGTTATTAGGGTTATAGGCCCGGCATGGCCAGGTGGTTAGGGCGCTCGACTAGCAATCTGAAGATCGCGGGTTCGAATGTTATAATGTGACGGTCAATCCCACTATTCGTTGGTAAAAAAAGCAGCCCAAGAGTTGGCGATGGGTGGTGACGACTAGCTGTCGTCCCTCTAGTCTTTAACTACTAAATTATGGACGGATAACGCAGATAACACTCGTATAGCTTTGCCCGAAATTTAGTTAAAACAAACCAAACAAATTAGAGGTATGACGAGAACAACAACAATAGATCGATGTATCAATTTACGTTTCATTGTTGTCTAATATATTGTTACGACAGCGGAAGTCACGTGACGCTGATAACATGTAAGATCGGGGAACATCACGAATAACCCAGTATTTGCTAGTCGCCCTCTATTCTTGTATATAAGTGCGCCAGACAATTAATCGGAATTAGAATTGCAGACAGACAGAGACGGACAACTGAGTCAAGCGCGGTAGTAAAATGCGTGAATCGTGGTGAATTATAGCGTGTGTTTGAGTTAAAGTGATTGTGGAAATTAAGTGTATTGCAAAGTTGAATTGAGAAAGAATAAACTAGTTTTATTTAAGAAAGGACTCGTATCGCTGAAGTTTCTCGGAAAGAATTTCTACGGAAAATTATCAATCAAGCAGATACGTAACAATATCTAGGATCAATAGATACAAGAATTTAAGAAAATACCGTCGTACATTTACGATAATGTAAAGGTTTAAGTCAGTGTTAATGGAGATTCTAAAATACTCTACAGAGAAAATATTAATGTTATAAAAACTGCACAGTCTCTAAAGAACTAAGTTAATCAATAAATAAATACATTGATTGTTGAATATATTCATAATAGTTAAAAATATTATAAAATTTTGTTATAAAACTTTGTAATTTTTACTATGTACTGTAAAGTTTTTAAACTATATATTACACCACCTAGTGTTAATAGTCCTAACTATTGAGTATATGAGCTAAGCTCGAGAA